ATAATTAGCTTAGAATACTTTGGTGTAGTATATATGTTTTTAGTTAAGGTATTTATAGTCTTTAAATATAGGTTCCTTTAGGATAAATACTACTGGTTTTTTGTTAATTTTAGTATTATTTGTTCTATAAAACTAGACTTCTTGATTGTTCTTATCCTTTTTATACTATAGTTAGTACTTAGGGTAGTCTTTCTTAGTAGGCTAAGCCTTTTTAACTATTAGGTTATTACTGAAGTTAATATTTGCTTGTGTGGCTATTAGTTTATTTAGGTTATAATAAGTTAGGCTTTAGTTAGCTTTATAGAGCTGTATTTCCTTTTTATGGAAGACTTTTTGTTTAGTGTCTGATTTATTAAAGGATTCTTTTTTTTTTAAGAATAATGTGAATATAATTGTTTTAGTTTTTTTTTTTAATATTTTTATAAGATATTGATTATATAGAAGTTTAGCTTGATTTTTTAAGATCTATAAGTTGTTTAGTAGCTTTTCTTTTAAGCTTACTTAAGGGTTTAAACTTATTAAGCGATTCCTTATATTCTTCTTTAAAGCTTATTTTTTTACTAAGTACTTTAATTAATTTTTAGGGTATAGGTTTCTTAAACTTAAATCTTAGAAAAAAAAATCTAAGTTATTATAATTACTTTTATTCTATAGCTATTATCTTAGTAGGCTTCTTAGGTTTAGTGCTCTTTTTTTTTTTAAGAGTATTTTTAAAGTTCTCCTTAAGTACTTATTATTTCTAGAAGTTCTTTTAGGCTTATATATATAGTTAAAGTTGTTTTTTAATGACTTTTAATGTGTTAGGTATATAAGGGTTATTTATTTTGCTTTATATAGCTTTTTTGGCTTAGATAAGCTTAGTAATTAGCTGCTAGTTTTGTTGCTTTAGTTATTAAACTATAGTTTATTCTAGGTAGTCTCTTTTCTAAGTTTATTAAGAGATTATTATAGTTTTGTGTTTAGGCTATTATAAATATTATTTAGTTTATTTTTTTAGTTTTTAATAAACTAAATAGTTATTATTAAAGTAGGTAGTTTAGTTTTTTTATTTATAAAAAGCTTTTTTTTTTATTATATTGGTTTTTTTAGTGCTTTTAGGTATAAGTTAGTTCTAGAGTTATTTAGGCTATTTGTAGTCTTTAGCTATATGGCTAGGCTTTTTATAGTTATAGTATTTGAAGTCCTTTAGATCTTAGTGGTTTTAGTAAGGCTTTTTAGTTATAGTATTAACGTTTATAGGTCTACTATGTTACTTATAGGAGGTACTTAGCTTACTATGTTGTTAGTTATTTTGCTAGTATAAGTTAAGCTGTAAGTTCTTAGGTCTTTATAGTATATACTTCTTGCTAGTATTTAGCTAAGGGTAGCGTATATCTTTTTTTTCTTTTTACTGTTTATATAGTCTAGTATTAATCCTAATTATGATTTCTATGTATTATAGGAAGTTATTTGGTTAGTTAAGCTTAGATAGCTTGTCTTTTATTTTTTCTTTAAGTTCTTAATAAAACATGAAGATCTTAGTGTTATTAGTATAATTAAGTTATATATAGATTCTTTAGAACTTTGTAGTATAGTTAATAGTTAACTTAATTTGTTTAAGATTTACTAAGTCTTATTTAGCTTATTATTTCTTATTTAGGTTTTAGAATAAGGATTTTAAGGTATACTTGAATCTTATGAAGCTCTTAAAGATTTACTAGGTCTCTAGGTTATAGTACTTTAGCGTCTTATTATTTAAGTAGTCTTCTAGGTAAGGTTTAAACTAAAAGAAGACTTATTTTTTAAAGAAGGTGTTTATATAAATAATTCTTTTTATTTTTATATAAAAGTTACTAGAATAAAATATTTAGTAGGTCTTAACTTATATTAAGAATCCTTTAAGTGTTCTAGGGGTCTTGTTGTAAGTAGTAAGGGAGTTAAGCTTAAGTTTCTTTTGTCTATTTACTGGGGTTAAGATAATGTTAGTAGTAGCTTAAAGAGTGTGAACTTCTTTTCTAAGGTTATTAGTTTACTAGACTTTAGCCTAAAGTTAGTTAAGGAGTACTATATTATTATTAAATATTTGTTATATATCTATGATGTTTTTATAGGTCTTCTTAAGTTGTTTAGCTATTTTAGTATTATTGTTTTTATTACTAGAGGATTTAGTGCCCTTTATTTCTTGGTCTAAGCTTATAGGTTTAAGGGGTATAATTACTTTTTTTTTAGATTTGTTAGAAGATGAAGTTAAGGTAACTTTAAAGGATATTGTTACTGTTTAGTAAGTATTAAGGTTAATTTACTAAACAGGAGTAATTAAAGTGTTATAGTTAGATATTTAATAGTAGTGTTTTTTGCTAATAGGTAGCTAAGGTTAATACTTGGTAATAGTAAGGTAAGTCTTGTTAATAATCTTACTAGTCTGTTAGTGTCTGGTGATTAGTTAGGTATGTCTAAGCATAGATAGCTTTATAGCTTTATAATAGAAGAATAATCTAAGAGTTACTTATAAGAAAGTAAATCACAAAGTTAATTACTAAAAAGCTATGGAGAGTCCTTGAGCCCTAGGCTTAAGTCTTGTCTATATACTGATGTTTACTTATTATAATGCTGTTAATAGTGATTAACTAGAGTAGGTCTAGGGTGAGCTGTTTACTTAGTGATTACTCTTAGTGATTACCTTATCTTTTGATTACTTTTCTTATTATTATGTGACCTATTTATAGTTCTTTTGTTCTAACCTTTGCCTATAAGCGCTGTGATCATGCATACATAAGTCTAAATGTCTCCTGGTTCCTCGTGGGTTCGTTCCAGGTGGTTATGTTAACTAACGCTTTCCTAGGTTGTAACAAAAGGGTTATTAATACTAGAGGTAAAAATACGTATTAAAAGGGGGCTTATATAAAGGGAGGTAAATTATGTGGTTAGCGATATAGTAATTATAAAAAGACTAGACATAACGTATAAATATATTAGGTAATATAAAAGACCTTTAAAAAAGAGGATAATAAGTAGTTTTAATTAATTTTATATAATACTACTTAATTAACTTATATAAATAGCTAGAGAGTAAGTAGAGGTAGGCTACTTGCTATGATAGGCTACTTGCTATATATATACGTTAGTCTATTTATAAGGTATCCTTAAAATAAGGTATACTATAATTAATACTTTAAAGCTAGCTTAAAGGTACTTAACTTAAGGTAATAGCCTTTACTAACCTCTAGAGGCTCTTTATTAGTTAAGAAGCTAAGCTAGCTAGCTAGGTATAAATCTAGGCTAACCTTAGGCTTATATTAATATATTAATAAGTTAAGGAATTTACTTAGTATATCCTAAATACTATAGGAAATACCTAGCCTCTAAGAAAAAAATAAATAAAGTCCTTTATATAAAGAAACTTATCTATTAAGGTCTAAAAAAGTTAATTTATTGATTCTAAATGTATTAATAAGGTATTTATTAAGGTTATTAAGAACTAGTTTAGATATCTTATAATCCTAGTAATAGTAGCTATTTAATTAGCTAATAGATATAATATAAATAAAATAAATATCTTTAAGGGTTAAGGAGTAAATAGGCTAGTACTAAGTAAAGTAGAAACTAAGTTTATATAAAAAAAATAACCTAGATTATAAGCTTAGGTATTTATTATTAAGTATATCTTAGCTAAAGGCCTAGTATTATATCCTTTTATAATATATAAGAGTAAAATAGTTTAGTAGTAGTAGTTTCTTTTAGATCTTAGCCCTTATAATAAACAAGAGTTTATAGTAATAAAGAATAAATAAATAACTAATAAGACTATTATTAAGTAGTTACTAAAGGTCTTTTTACTATAAACTATTCTCTCCTAGCCTAATTAGGCTAGACTACTAGTCTTAGATAAGTATAAGAGCTATATAATAACAGAATTTATATAAGAGTACTATACTAATAACGTTTATCTATTATTCTTACTACTATATACCTCTTATATCTTCTAGCTACTAAATTAGTTAGTCTTTAGCTTAATTAAAGTAGCTTATTATAATAAGCTTTTTAATATTACTTAATAGAATAATTTAACTATTATAAGTAAAAAGCACTTTTTATTTTACTTTAAAAAGCGAGAAGTCGCTGCTAGGGCCGCCCATTCCGGTGGGAAGTGCTGCCGTTTTATGCAGCACAAGCAGTGAGGGGGAACTAGGCGAGGGGCAGGCACGGCCAGGTATTAAATACTTTGTCCTGCCCTCCAACCTCGACTCCCACCCTGGTCATGGCAGTGCGCTCCATGCTGCTATTTTGGTCCAAGCGCCTGCCATGCCCTTCCTCCCTGTCCGTTGATTATACCACCAGTTTCCTGTTGCCAATTCCGTCGCTTTCTGGCTTCCGTTGGAGCGATTTCTGGCTGCTCAGGCTGCTCAGGTTCCGCTTGACGAAATGGCGCCGCCCGCCATAAAGAGCGGCATTACGCCCGCCGTCTTCTCCTGTCTTCTCTTGCTTTGCTACACGATTTCGACCCCTCCTCTCCTGCCAATACGACTTGCGACCATCTCCCAGTCATGCCCCGGCCAGCGCCCCCCAATTGTCGCTCTCGACAAACAAACGTGACCACAGACTTTCTGAAGCGATTCACTGATTAAGAAAGACGGCAAAGGACTACAAACCAGCCAAAGCCGTTCTCAGCTAAGGAGCATGCTGCCCTCTGTAATCAGCTCAAGAACGTCAACTTCATTAAGCCTAGATATACAGACAAAACCGAGATCAATATTGTGGTCATGTGCAGGAAATGGAAACGGTTCGCTGCTAGGAGTCCATACCCTGTTTTCTTGTTGACTGACCTACCATATAACAGGTACTGTAAAGAGCAGAACTTCGGCAAGTGACAAGCAGCCTTGGAAAACATAACCCGCGAGACAATGATAAGCTTCTTTCTCTGGGTTAGCGAGTAGTCTGTAGGGAAAATCAAATCATGGGGTATGACACAGGTATACATCCGCCAGTTTCAGTAGCTATATACTACCGTCGCCAGTCACTACATGGACAGGAATAATGCCAAAGAGCTCTACAAGGTAGGTACTAGTTGTGGCAGTCGGTATTTCCACAATGATGCTGATATGGTCTAGGCTAGTTTCACCACACGGTCCTGATCCCCTGCTTCGGATACCGCGCACCCAACATCAACGGGAAGCTGGTCCTTGGGGCCAATAACCTACTGGCCATCTTGACGTTTAACATTGCGTATAATACTGGTATCTTCCCGTCAAAGCGGCAGCGCCCTCAGCTAGCTGGCTGCTACCAGCTCCTCTGCTACACCGGTGCGCGACCTGCCGAGATTATGCATGCCAAAAAGAAAAAGCCCAAAGACGGATGCACGGAAGAGATTTTCCAGCTCAAAGGCGTCAAGTTAACTAACTATGAATGTAGCAAGGACGCAGAGAACGTGGACGATGACGACCAGCCACCACAAGACAACAACTCTCTTCTCCTCAACAGACTTCTGCTACAGGAAACAGCTGGGCGTGGGCGTCCCAAAGCCCTGTGCTATGAGGACATACTGATGATGGTTGTTTGCCATCTGGTGACGGGATAAGCCATACCAGCAATAGCCGTCAAGTTCATCCACCACAAGAGAGCTAACAATAAGCCAAGGCTGTGAGTATGCGTGGTGTCGCAGTTCCGACCTTTTTTTGTACTTTTAATGCTAACTATAGACAAGACCATCTTCTTCTTCACGCCCACTAAGAAGCTCATCTTTTGTGCTGTCAGCACCATCATCGCCCTAGCGCTCCACGACCAGGCTTTCAACGCAGCGAGCTTGACAGATGCGGCCCATGTACTAAAAGCAGAGGTCAGGGGTCCAGTCCAGTCCATGGCTTTATGGTGGAAGCAGTCAATACTCAAGGTTCCAATTTTTCGGAGGTTCAGCAGTGACGCGTTGGCCATTGATGAGGCCATAACCTATTCCAAACTACGAGACGACATAGGCCGACAGAGCCTTAATGCAGGTTTTGAGAAGGCTTGGACGCCATGGTTCGCCCGAAGAGGGGCAGCAAATACAGCAAACAGTATATCAAAGTAAGCAGTGGTTACAGAGGACCAATACTAAGATTTTCGTTCTAGGAAATGCGTCTGATGCTGTGTGCGACCAGATGATGCGCCACGATCCTAAGTTTGCCACTTTCCACGGCGCGTACCTTAATAAGAACGTTGAGTTTAACCTCCAGAACACTTTCCTAGAAGAGGAAACTGAGGAGCAGATGTACAAAGTGTTTGCGCATGTCAGCCTTACGCGTGATCCCCGCGTAACAAGAGACATGGTCCTGAAGGAGGTTTAGGAGAACTTGTTGCCTGATCTGGAGATTCTGGAGCTAGAGCATCGACAACAGAAGTTGAAGGCCAGTCAATATCGAGTGCAAGGCATAGCGAACAAAACCGAGATTCGCAGGCTGACCGAGGAGATATGCACTAAGCGGGATCAGCACAACAAGAACATCGTCAAAAAATATTGCAACTATTATTTCTACAACCACTCAACATGGGATATCGAGAGGCAAGCAAACAGCGAGCAAGAGGAGGAATATGCTGAACCAGAAATCAACCTCCAGATTCCCAAGCGCGCCAGACTGGCTCATATCTTGTACCACCAACCAGCCAACTACTCTCACGACAAACTACTGGAGCTTTGGATTAAGGCCATCAATCTAATGGTCGCACTTTGTGACAAGAGAGAGACGGTCAGGCGGGACCTCATCTGTACCCGTCCTCAACCCAAGCCACTCATCAAAGAGGAAACTCCTCAACCCAAGCCCTTCCCACTCCTCCTCAATCCAAATCAATGTCCTGACTACGTCGGCGACAAGAGACTTCCCCTAGAAGAACAAGCGTTCAAGTACTGCCGGCCAACAGTCAGAAACGACCACTTTAATAACCAGCATCTAGTACAACAGGAGCACGCTATACAACATGGTGATCTCATTTGGTGCAACCATCCACGATGCCAGGATGATCCAAACTTCCCAACACTGGATGCGTTCAAACGGCATGTACAGACCTCCCATGGGGTTTCGCTCAGGACGTCAGATCAGGTCATGCAAAGACGATTAAAAAAGGCCAAGCGTAGACAGATGGCTAAAGGAGGGGTTCAGACTGAAGGATAAGCCTCGAGTAAGATCAGAGTATGTATCCCAAAGGCTAAAATAGTCACATATACACACATTTATTAGACTCTTAAGAGTATTTGTTTTAATTAAGACTCTCTTTTGCTCCTATTTGGACAACATTTGGATCATGCAGTCAACATGATAATGAACCCATGGCTGCACACAGTCTCGGGCCGTGGAACTCAGCAGCGACCTGCGCGGCCTGAATGCTGAGTTTGCCTTCCATTCATTAACAAGATTGGGAGAAATGTATTATGGTGTGCTACCTGGTGGATACTTTTGCTGACTGTGTATGCCTAACCCGAATTGAGGAGGGCCGCTCCTCGCTAAAGAGAGTAGGCGATGTTTGTTGGCCAATGTTGTTGTGGATTACTGCGACCTGTCGAGACGTTTGGATGTGGAACCCTTCAATAGTAACATACCGGCGTGGGCTCTTCTGGCATCCCACAGACGGGATGCTTTGACGGCTGGCGAGCAAGTTATCCGGAGGTGGGATTCTTCCACAGCATACTGGCGTGGGCGCTTCTGGACATGTCGATTGGAGCCGGAATGGTGTGGGGTTGTCGGTGTGGTCTTGGCATGCGCTTCGGTCGTGTGTGGAGACATGCACTGTGATAAATGAGCCAGTTATGGTTAGCACAGCGATCTAGCTCTGAGACTAGGGCTGTTCAGAAGCCCAGGTAGGCGCCCGAATTACAACCCAATAATCCAAGCAGCCTACTAGTAACAGTCGCCGAAACGTCCCGTCTGTGAGACGCCAGAAGCGCCCAAGCCGGTATGTTACTGTTAGAGGGTTCCACATCCAAGTGATCTGCTGGTAACAGTTGCCGAAGCGCCCCGTCTGTGGGGTCCCTGAAGAGCTCACCCCGGCCATGCTACTATTAGAAAGTTCCGTATGCGAGCGGCCTACCAGTAACCAGAGCCGGAGCTTCCGTCGATGAGAGCCCCAAAGCACCCACCATAGCCATGCTATAATTAGAGGGTTTCATATCCGAGTGATCTACCAGTAACCGGAGCTCGGTGCAGGGTGCTTGGCATAGTAGTGGGGTCTGGGCAGGCGCGGGCGCTTCAGGGCGCGGTGCACCAATCGCGGCCAACTAGAACAAGGGATAGTACCTTGTCAATAGTGTATAACTGAGGTGGTCTAATCGTCAAAGCTAAATCCTAGAATTTAATTCGGATCATTCCTAATCTATGGTCTAGATAAAGTATAATTATCTAGTATAAGCGCCACAATACGGTATCATATTCCTGTATCAGTAACCTCAATACCAACATGGATGCCCCCAAAGTTGACTTGCTCCCGCTAAAGAAGCGGGATAGAACTAATGAGAACTTTGAAAAAGTCAGAGAGAACACTATGCGCTGATGGAATAAAACAAGCTGCCGCTATCAAACGGACATCTACATTACATTTCAAAGGAAACACAAACACTATGAATATAGCTCAACTAACGACCCATCGTGGCCGGTATTAAGAGCTGATATGGTAGGTGTCTGCCTTATTTTTTCCCTACCGCTAACCCCTCAAAGGAAAGGATCTATCCCGTGCCTCTGAGAAAGACGCCAGCAAACTTTGTCCGTCGCAGAAGCCGCAGGACAAAGACGCATCTGAACCCGTGAGATCCAACAGCCCGAAGCAAATCACAGGCAGGAATTACTCTGCGCCGTGGGCCAAAAAGCAGAAGGCATGCGCAGGCGAGGACTCTAGGAGCCCAACGCCAGTTTTGTTGGTGCAAATACAGGGATCTATAGGACCAGCCCCGAATGAGCTTATTGCCATTCGCTTAAATAGATAGGTTGCATATTACTAGCCTGAACTTGATTTGGGGATGTACTTTGAGAGATGCCTTGCAGAGATGCCTTTGAGGGATGTTGATTGATTGCACCAGTTTCGAGAGGAATCGCCTGAGCTTAGAGTTTCAACCAATCCGTTGGGGGATGTCCTTTGCGGGTTGTCCTTTGCGGGTTGTCCTCTGCGGGATGTCCTTTGGGGGATGCACAGATGTATGTACATGGGGACCACTAGTAGTTATAGTTGTGTGAGTGGACTCCTTCGAAAGTGAGGCACGCCGAATGCAAGGAATCAGGGGTCCCAATACTGGGCCCCGCTCAAGCAGAATCCAGACCACCGTTGCGAGCAGGGTACATGTCCAGCCAGATAGTCCCAAATCTGGGTGTACAATGTACCAGTATATTCTTTGGGATGGTACATGGTATCCCAGTCCGTTATTTGAGATAGTACATGGTATACCAGATCAGAATTGCGATGGTATATGGTATCATAATACACAATATTCCAGTACATGACGGGATGTCATGTAATATACTAGTACATGACGTGATATTCTAGGGCGTACCGGCTTATTTTGTAGGATAGCACATGTGTGGTGTGACGAGCTGAGTGTACCTATCATCCCGTCGGGTGCGAACCAACCCCATTTTTGGGTACTGTTGGTTTCACAAAAGAGAGGGGTTACTTGAGTATCTGGGTATAGCAACGATCACCGTCTGTGGTGGTGATATTGCTGTGGTGTCGATGGTTAATTATCCAAAGTGGAAGTGAAAGTTGGGTTGGGTGGTTGAGAGGATATCTCCAGAGCTGCTGGAGAATCCGTGTGATCTCATTGGCCACACCCAAAGTACGTCACGTGGATATCACGTGCCGTACTTCAACCAAGTGATCCGGATATCCCAACAGGTACAGCCAATTTCAAGAATGCCTATCAAGAATGGGTAAAATCCCAAGCAAACATTTGCGTCCTTGTCGTTTTTCTCCTCCACGTAGACTGTTGACAGTGTTTCATTTCCAAGGATCGGATAATGTCTGGAAGAGAAGCAAATCTTCACTTGCGCCTTTTCACGCTCAATGTCGTCCATGAGGTCTAAACGGGAAGCTGTCTTGGAGGCAGAACAGTCCGCTGGTGGTCGACTGGCAAGTCTTCCAGCCGTACAAGACGCACCAGCGGAGCTCGATCTAGGCTGCGCGTAATCGCACAGACGGGTCTGGCCGTGCAAAAGCATTGTTCTCAGTCGTCAAGTAATACACAACCTGCTCAGTGGGTTGGAAACTCGCCAGCCTTTCTAGCCCCTTGGCTGCACGGGAGGCCACCGAGCCCACTCAGTCAAGGAAGTTGCGACGACCTCCCGCAACTTCAAGTGCACTCAAAAACACATGGCTCCTTGTCTCGGTTGACCTGGCGTGAGACGCCAACACGACCCAACAGAAAGCATTTGATTGTCTCTTGACACTGCCCCATGACAGAATCCGTGCATGCTTCTATGCGAGTCATGGACATAACCCATCCAAAATGGTCTGACTGTACTTAAACAGGCCAGCCTGTCATTTCCACCTGGCCCTAGCTCTGTAACAGTTATTAGGATAGCATTAGGCCCACAAGCCTGTGGTGATTCCATCCACTCTTTAGTACGAATAGACACTCTTTTCTGCTCACTCATATATGCATATTCCGCTGGCCACCCTGACAAACCGTCACCCCACAAGCCCTGTCTAGCCCCGCCTCGGAACTGATGACTGTCAGCATGCATATGCAAGAGTTCGATAACGACGACCAAGGTAACTGTGGCTGCAAACCCCGTCACCTCGAACCGCCTTGCGAGGCGCCACGCCGCTGCCTACGAACAGCGCTTCCGACCGCCTGATAAAGGAGGAAAGCCCGCGGAATGCAATAAGATAAGCGACGTTTCGCTGACTTAACTCGTCACAGCAGCACACAACAATGGAGCATGCTGGTTTCGCCGTTGGCGTCGTCGGGCTCGCTGGTCTCTTCAGCTCCTGTCTAGAGGCCATCAACAAGGTGCAATCGCATCGTTCAGCCCGGGCTGATGCAGACGTGCAAGATAACTTGTTCAATGCTGTCGGTGCCCGCTTCGAGCAATCGGTCGAGGCCTAGGGATTGACCAAGGGAGACTGCTGGGCGATCATCGTCCGGCACTGGACGGCAAGGGCGTTTTTAGAGCTGTAGGCGACTTCTTCACTTCATTATCAAACACAACCACGACGACAGCCGTGCGTCTTTAAGGCGCTCGACCTAAACTGTTGGGCTGGGCCGCCAAGAATCAGCTAGATAGATGTTCAATTGAAATGTTCTCAAAGACCGGTGACTGGGTCATCTGATTGGCAGCTTACTGAAGGTGTCAATCTACTTTGATCATCAGTAATTAGCTCTACCTACATTCACCGGTAGGCAGCTCTTACGACTGCAGACAGCCAGTCGAATCATCCGCAATGCCAGCATTCCTCACGGCCATCTCGACACTAACCAGTTTGCTGAAGTGACCTGTAAGCTTGTTCAAGAGCCTTTTTGGACCGGTCTCGACCCGTGCCATTTCATCAAGCGCGCAGGCGCAAGTACACTGCTCATCTCAATTGCATGGCTGGGTCTGCCATCATGTGCACGCCGTAGGTCCGCATTTTCCCGTTTCAAAAGTAGCGGCAAGGATCTTCTGGATCGGGGTATCCAGGACCTTTCTTTGCCTAGTCGCTAACAACCTCAGATGGGTCACAGTCACTATGAATACCTGTGCTAGGACGCCACATTAGTTCGTTTGTCGACCATGAGTCTGGCAACATGCAAGCTAATGTTAGTAATGCAACAGCTGATATCACCGCCATAGACGACAGAGGGTTACTGGGTGCACAAGTCATCTCGATTACGTATGCTATCACACAAGGTAACAGGTAGAACGAAAAACACGAACCACAGTCCCCGTCTCAAACCAAAGTCAATGACTGCCACTTCCCTGGTGTTTCCCATCCTCTCCAGAGGCATCTTCAGTGCCATGCTCCTGAACATCCAGAAGGAGCCTTTCTCGCTGTTCCTGGTCAAATGATCCAGGGTCAACAACAACTAAGTCTTTAGAGCACCTCTTTTTGACTCGTGGGCCAGCAAGGGAGTCATCAGCACTATGCTCGAGAGGTGAAGTGGTTAGAAAAGTGGGTCCTGACTTGCCCGTACTTTCCGTGGCATCGGGATGCGGTTTGACTGAGCCGGGACGACTTTGATTGTCGGATTGCGTTCGCCCTTTCTTTCCCTCACCCGCAACATCCATTTCGCGCCTGCGTCTCGCTAATTCACGAGCAAGTCATGGTTCCAGACACATCCTCACCTCAGAAGTCTGACTTTCCAGTCAACCTCTATCCTCTGCTTCGACCACACTTCGAGGAAGCCATACGCGCCATGCCGTAGGACCAAGACCGGGGCTTCGGTACGGATGCCGTCGACTTGGCTCTCCATATACTGGCCATGAATGCCAGGATTCCGAATGACCTTGCGACCGAAGCTGGCTCAGAAGCCACCGGGCGAAAGGAAATCGACAAGCTCAATCGACAATATGGCTGTTTCGATAAGGACGATGCAAATCATATAGTCCAGAACCGCGTGCTTTGAGATAAGACCCGAAAGCCCAACACTGGTCATCGCTTCTTACTTTCAAACAGAGAACTTCACGAATAGATTGCTGGGCTCCTGGCGACGTTAAAGATGAGTCACGCATTCAAACCAACGAGGCTAATAAGTGGGATATTGCCATTCAGGAAGGTGAAGACAGGCGAGACGGGGTGACAACATGAATCCGTGGCATAGGATAGACCGCCCTTATCATTGAAGCACATTTTAATAACTATTGTGGTCTCGAGGAAAATGTTTCTAGGTTAAAGCACGCAATGCCTATGAAACAGTGCCTCAAGTCCTAAGAAATCGTCCACAGCAGCATAACCAATATTAGCAAAGAACTGCTCTAACATGGCGGCTGGTAACAAATTGAAAGCCTGAAAAGCCAACTGTTCTTTACACGATTCTTCTACTGAACATCCACCCTGACTGAGTGCTTCCACCACCATGTGATGGGATCGTTTGAGTGCCCACAGGAGTGGCGTATAGCCTTTGTTGTCTCGAAAATTGAGGGCTTTCCTGCTGTTTTTGACTAGGATTGATACTGTCTGTTCTAGGCCTTTCATAGCAGCCCAAGAAAGTGCTGTGCGGCCCTCTGCGTCTATCGAGTCCAGGTCAGCCTTACCTGTATCGAGCAGCATGTTGACAACGGCCTCATGTCCATTTTTTGCCGCCCACAAGAGGGGTGATCGGTTATCTTTCGTAGCAACTGTGACGTCTGCTCCCTTGTCAAGAAGCAGCTTGACCACCTCGAGATGGCCGTTACTTGAGGCTGAATAGAGCGGCGTCCATCCGTTGTTGTCAGCAACTGTGATGTCTGCTCCTTTGTCAAGAAGCAGCTTGACTACCTTGAGATGGCCGTTACCTGAGGCTGCTTTAAGCGGCGTCCATCTGTTGTTGTTAGCAATTGTGATATCTACTTTTTTGTTGAGAAGTAGCTTAACTACTTCGAGATGGCTGTTACCTGAGGCTGCGTGAAGCAGTGTCTGTCTGCCCTCAGTAGTGGCAGTTATGTCTGTGCCCTTGTCGAGAAGTAGCTTGACCACCTTAAGGTGGCTGTTACTTGAGGCTGCGTTAAGCGGTATTACTTTGCCCTTGTTGGCGACTGTGATGTCTGCTTCCTTGTTAAGAAGTAGCTTAACTACTTTGAGATGGCTGTTACTTGAGGCTACGTTAAGCGGCATTCATCTGTTGTTGTCAGCAACTGTGATGTCTGTCTTTTTGTTGAGAAGTAGCTTGATTACCTTAAGGTGGCTGTTACTTGAGGCTGTGTTAAGCAGCGTTACTTTGCCCTTGTTAGTGACTATAATATCTACTCTCTTGTTAAGAAGTAGCTTGACCACCTTAAGGTAGCTGTTACTTAAGGCTGCGTAAAGCAGTATTATTTTGCTCTTATTAGTGACTGTGATGTTTGTTTCCTTGTTAAGAAATAATTTAGTTACTTTGAGATAGCTATTACTTAATGTTATGTAAAGCGGCGTTTATTTGCCCTTATTAGCAATCATAAGATCTGCTTCCTTGTTAAGAAGTAGCTTGACTACCTTGAGATGGCTGTTACCTAAGGCTGTGTAAAGCAGTGTTTATCTATTATTATTAATAACTGTGATATTTACTCCTTTATTAAAAAGCAGCTTAATTACCTTAAGATAGCTGTTACCTAAGGCTGCGTGAAGTGGCGTTTATTTGTTATTATTAGTAACTATGATATCTGCTTTTTTGTTAAAAAGCAGCTTAATTACCTTGAGATAGCTGTTACCTAAGGCTACTTTAAGCAGCGTTTATTTGTTGTTATTAGTAACTGTGATGTCTACTCCTTTGTTAAGAAGTAGCTTGACTACCTTAAGATGGTTGTTACTTGAGGCTGCGTTAAGCAGCGTCTATCTGTCCTTATTGGCGACTATGATATCTGCTCTTTTGTTAAGAAGCAGCTTGACTATCTTAAGATGTTTATTACTTAATGCTGAAATAAATGGCATCCATCTGTTTTTGTTAGTGACTGTAATGTTTGCTTTTTTGTTGAGAAGTAGCTTGACTATCTTAAGATGTTTATTACTTAATGCTAAGTTAAGTGGTGTTTATCTGTTCTTGTTGGTGACTGTAAGGTCTATACCCTTGTTGAGAAGCAGTTTGACTATCTTAAGATGGCTGTTACTTGAGGCTACGTTAAGCGGTGTCTATCTATCCTTATTAGTGACTGTGATATCTACTCCCTTGTCAAGAAGCAGCTTGACTACTTTAAGATGGCTGCTGTCTGATGCTGCATTAAGTAGCGTCTATCTGTCCTTGTTAGCAACTGTGATGTCTGTGCCCTTGTTGAGAAGCAGCTTGACCACTTTGAGATAGCTACTGTCTAATGCTGTATTAAGTGGCGTTTATCTGTTCTTATTGGTGACCGTGATATCTGCTCCCTTGTTAAGAAGCAGCTTGACTACTTCGAGATGGCTATTGTCTGATGCTGTATTAAGTGGTGTCTATCTGTTCTTATTGGTGACTATGATATCTGCTCCCTTGTTAAGAAGCAGCTTGACTACTTTGAGATAGCTGCTGCCTAATGCTGCTTTAAGTGGTGTCTATCTGTTTTTATTAGTGACTGTAATATCTGCTCCTTTGTTGAGAAGCAGCTTAACTACTTTAAGATGGCTGTTGTTTAATGCCGTATTAAGTGGCGTTTATCTGCCCTTATTAGTGATCCTGAGATCTACTCCCTTGTCAAGAAGTAGCTTGACCACCTTAAGATAGCTGTTACTTAAGGCTAAATAGAGTAGCGTTTATCTGTTGTTATTAGTGACTATAATGTTTGTTTTTTTGTTAAAAAGTAGTTTAACTACTTTAAGATAGCTGTTGCCTAATGCTATATAAAGTGGTGTCCATTTACCCTTATTAGTGATTATAAGATCTGCTCCCTTGTTAAGAAGTAGCTTAACCACCTTAAGATAGCTATTACCTAAGGCTACTTTAAGCAGTATTTATCTGTTATTATTAATAACTATAATATTTACTCCTTTGTTAAAAAGTAGCTTAACTACTTTGAGATGGCTGTTGTCTAATGCTGTATTAAGTGGCATCTATTTGTCCTTATTAATAATTATGATATCTACTCCCTTGTTAAGAAATAGCTTGACTACTTTAAGATAGCTGTTACTTAAGGCTACTTTAAGCGGCGTCTATTTGTCCTTATTAGCAACTATGATATCTGCTCCCTTGTTGAGAAGCAGCTTGACTACTTCAAGATGGCTGTTGTCTGATGCTATATTAAGTGGCGTTTATTTGTCCTTGTTAGTAACTGTGATGTCTGCTCTTTTGTTGAGAAGCAGCTTGACTACTTCAAGATGGCTGTTACTTGAGGCTGCTTTAAGCGGCGTCCATCCGTCCTTGTTAGCAACTGTGATGTCTGTGCCCTTGTCGAGAAGCAGCTTGACCACTTTGAGATGGCTGCTGTCTGATGCCGCATTAAGTGGCGTCTATCTATAAGAATTCCTAAGCGTCACATTACCCTCGTTTTTGAGAATCATCTTAACCAAGCCGAAATGGCCGTTCATCGATGCAGCATAGAGCGGCGTTCGTCCTCTACAGCCAGCAACATCAATGTCTGCTCCCCCTTTAAGCAGCATTCGCGCTATTTCCTGGTATCCCTTTTCGCATGCGATCTCGAGGGCTGCTCTTCCCGACTTTGCCTTTTCATTCGGGTCCTGCTTGCAATGATGAATGAGAAACCTCACCACCCCTGTCAACCCCAAATAAGAAGCATAGTATAAGGGGCTTGCCAGCAAGATTGTTTCTGTCGTCTCCGGTTTCAAATCCTCGCCATGGGTATCAAACCACTGTCTCCAGGAGTCCCAAGTTTCAACGCGTCCGGCAAAGAGGGCGTTCATTGCTTTCACTAACGCCTCGTCGTTTGCCTTGCTGACGTCAGTATGTTGATACTAATATTTCGCAGCGTAATTCCGGAAAGACATCCCGATTCGATCTTCTACCTCATGAAGTGTTCCGTCCCAAACTCGTTGGAAACCGATGTAGCGGAGACATAGCTTGGCTAGGATGACACCCTCGTTGACTTCGTTGGAGGCGCGCAAGCTCTCGTTGGCAAATAAGACCGCCCCGCGAGACGGGATCTTACACAGCAGGTACTGCTTAACCGAGAAATGGGCTAGGTGTATCTTTCTCGATCCAGCCGAAGATTCTGATAAAGTGCCTCGTACTTCTATCAGGGATCCACAGAGATCCAGGATTTCGCTTTCGATGTAGTCATCATCAACAGAGTCTGGCAATTCGTCGACTGGCAGGTCGTCGTAGTCGTCATTGATGAGCATAGCTTTGGTGATCTCGCAGATAGTCAGGGGCCGCAGAGCAAATGCAGCCCATCGCAGCAACGAGAAGGCCCTTATTCTTTGCACATCTTGCAATGTCTCAATTCGCTCCTAGTTGTGGTCGTAAAGACGGTCAAGCCCGGCTGGGGTCTCGTCGATGTCCCTTTCAAGCTGCTTCTGGTTTCTCCCTTTCCTCAGGAAGTCTTCTTGCATTCTCAGCCACTAGAACTGGCCGTGACAGCGATCAGCTATTCTCTGGGAGATGCTGAGCCTTAGTGATTTGTCCTTGTTGTATAGCTTGTTATCGATGATACTTCTTGAGTAGGCAATGTTATCAGCAGATACATCTTCCAGTGATATCGTGTATTCGCTGAATCCCGAGTATCGTGTGAGCCCTTGCCGGATTTCAGGCTCGTTACGGCTGACCACCAAAACCTGAGCAGTGGTGTCGTCAATCGCTTGCCTAAGCTCTTCAAGAAAGCGGGCAACAGAGTGGCTACCGCTGTGGCCTCCCCCCACCCAAGTGCATTCATCCAGCCCATCCAAGATGAACGTACAGCACGGAACGGTCTGGACAACCTCACGGAAGAGTTGGATGATGGTTGCTCGCGTTGCGACCTGTTCATGCTGTGCCAAGCGTCTCTTCCGGACCACATTCAAAGCAGCCTGGTTTTGAAATGTTATCGCCGCTAGCCACGACCGAATCGCTAAGAATGGGTCGTCACGGCCCTTGGACTTGGACGATAAGAAGAAATGCGCGGTGGGTACCTGAGTCGTGGATGAAATGACTTCGACTAGTTTGGCGCAAAGGATTGTTTTACCATATCCCGCCGGGCCGTTGATCCACAGCAATTTCGAAGCACCAGGTGGAGCATCGGGCGAAAGCCACTGGCGAAACTCTGTCCGCGCCAGTATCCACTCACATGTGCCGTCCAGCCGCTTCTGGATGGAGTCGTCGTATATATCGTTCGGGGACGGGCCACCAAGCCAAGCGCGCAGGTCCCGTTTTGTTTCGGCTGCAGCCGTTAGCTAGAGAACCAGGGCGCGGGTCACGGCATCATTACCTTTCGTCTCTTCTTCTGCCTGGCGCAGGAATTCTCGAATCTCGGCAAACAAAGGACTGTCGATTAGATGAGTATCTTGAGCATTGTCAGATCAATATGCTAGGCAGTGGTTAGGGGCGTTTGTCTGAACCGTGTAGATGCGCAGAGCCATAGTTGCGCGCTCCATGTCCTGATGGTGTGCCCTTCGTGTCGTCAGGAGGAACCACACTGTACAGATACTGCACTAGGGTCGCAAACATCTGAACGTGGCCTGCGCACTTTGTTTTCCCGGTTAGTGCCCAAGCGGCCTTCCGCCACTTCGAGTCCACAAGCGCGCCATGGCGAAGCTGGCCTTGCCGTGTGGAGAGAAAACCTTCTTTCGAAATTTTGTTGTCCGCTGGAGTGGGCTGCTGATGGAGGGTGTCATCTTCGCCGCTACAAAAGTCTCTGATGCTGGCCAACAGTTTGTAAATTATCGCCTTATTTGTCGCATCATCGAGAGCGGGGTGGTGCGTATCGGATAACTTCCCTTTCTCGATGCCGACAGCGCGACCCTACTGCTCGAAGCGGTGCTTGTCGGTGTCGAACAGAGTGGCTAGAGAACGTGAATCGCGGCCAAAGTTTTTGTACGAGTCGAACTTTTCAACAGCTTCCAAGCAAGAGCTGAAGAGGCCGGCTAGGCCCACGATGCCGACAGCCAGTCCTACCGGTTCCATGGTTGCGCGCGTGAGATTGTCGCGATTGATGGAAGGCGGGGTTTGTGTTTTCTACATGACGGCAGATTTATGGCGCAACCTGTCATCCGAACACAGCTGCTTACAATGGCATTCGTCTGCCTGACGCTTACCACGTGTACTGCTGTCATTTCTACCATGTCGCTGTCTTTGCCAGCGCATCCATCTGATGCGCCGCTCCACTCGGGCAGCCTCCGGTAAGGCATAGTTGTGAGGGCGGTGGACCGGCTGTGAGCGCCAATTGAGGCTGGCAACATAAGCGTGGCGGCGTCGCCCCGCTGTGTGCATCATCAGCTGATCGTCACTTGGCAGAAAGCGATAAGGCTTTCCTGCCGCTCGTGCCTGGTATTGTCCGAATCTTATGACGCTGTATGTGTTGACGCTGTATGTGTTCACAGCTGGACTGCCTCAAGGAGCATGGAGACATCCCAGGCGCAATTGGTAGTGTATTTCTTTGATGCTTGACTTTCATAGTGGAAGCTGAGAGTATGCCTACATAATGTCATCGCACAGCGAAGGCTGGCGTGCCAGGACGGAAGTAGCAATTCGCCTTTCTTAAAACGCGCTGCACAATGATGGAATCCATGCTATATCCGTATCGTTTTCATTGGGCCACGCGTCCCCTAGAGGGCCAGCCCATCAAAGAACCATGTGCAAAGTGGCCTAGCGAGGACGACAGGCCGGCTTGCGCCACATCGCAAGGCGCTTATACTGCAACGGGCTGCATTCCGCCCCATCACTGCGTAGACCTGAAATCCACCCGATGTACATCTGAGGGCTAAGAAGTCGTTTCAAGAAGGCTGTTCCAAGAACGCGCTTTCTGTGAGTCTGAAAGCAGGCTATCCTCCATGGTCATTTTCGAGGAATTCATGCTTGGCAGTGAGACACAGCACTTGGGGTGTTGTACAGTCGAACTGGGTTGGGACCGGACTGAGTCGCATCGACGAAGACAACAGCCAGCCTTCATTTTGTCAACCGCAGGCTGGCGGTCGCACTCGCTGCACTCACCTTGTCTGTATTTGAAGCAGCGCCAGAGCGACGCTACATCGTCTGATTTGGTCGGTTGTAAATGTGTTCGGATCACACCCCACACTATCCCATACGTGTTGCCATCATCGTCCCAACATCCGTTAAAAGCAAGCGCTGCAGCGCCATGCTCCAGTGGCAGAGCATGCACACAGTGATCGCAAACTCGTTGCGGCGGCTTGGACGGATAGCCATGGTGATGATTCGTGGCCTAGTAGACTGGCGGGGTGGAAACTTGCGATGCTGCAGGTTGTGAAGACAAGGCTTGAGTAAGACGTGTTGGTTGCGCCTGCAGGCCAAGACAGGCTGATGATTTCTTAATCTTTCTGTGACTGGTGCCATCTCACAACTTCCGGCATTGCTGCCAACCCTCCCATTTATCCTCTATTGCACTCGATTTTGCCGCTATGGATGGGCAGGTTGCATTCGGATCGACGACTGGACATATTGCACTCCCCGGCGCCGGTGTTGAACAGGGCGAGACGCTGAACGTGACGGTTTCTGACAGTCGTAAGCATGACACTACCCCGCCATTGAAGACTAACTGAAGCGTCTAGGCCCACCAGCGACAGCGACACGACCCCTCTTCATCATCCCCTTCGAGCGCAACAACATTGTTGACTGCCCTGATGTCTTCGCCAAACTCGACGCTCTCCTCCTGCCCGTCGCTGAAAAACAGAGCGCCGCTCTCTGGGGCTTGGGAGGCTCTGGGTAGCCTACTCTGGCTTCTTCGAGGCACAGAGCACTGACTGCTGTAGGAAAACACAGATAGCGCTCGAGTTTGCCTACCGCCGGTTCCGCGATACGAACTGCTCCGTTTACTGGGTTCACGCAGACAACGGAGCAACGTTCGTGCAGGACTACGAAGCGCTTGCGAGGAGAGCCGGGCTTACAGACAGGATTCCAAGGGTTTCCTTCTTCCCGAGATCTATCCCGTTTCCAGACACCGGGTCTGTTTCCTGCTTCTCGTCAGTTTTGGGTGTCATTACTGCAGTAGACTTCGCTGCCGCCGGATGTCACATGTACGGACAAATGTGTTCTTGCCGCATTCGAGGCTTTGGACGACATCATCAACAATCACACCAACCTGTCGAGGCGACTGGCCTATGTTCAGTTAACACAGCTGCTCACGTCTTTCAAGGGTCTTATAGATGCTGACCCTCAAAACAGCACCCTCGAGCTAGAGAGCTGTAGTGCTAGCATAGCTATTGACATGCTGTGCCTTGATTGCATTGTAGTGCTTGCAGAATTTAGAGGAGCTCAGGTCTTTGCAACTTAATCCGACGTCCTGGCTGGGAAGGCACGTAAGAGTCATTGGCCGAATGGCTGTGGAGATGTGGAATTCCATTCTTGGATGACGTGGGGAGTGATAGAGACCCCAAAAACTTTCGGGCCTTCAGTCGGCTATTCTACATGTCAGCGATATCGTATGTTGCTAGAGTCTGGGGTTTGCACAGGGGTTATCAAGCAATTCCTGAATATTTCCAATCCAGTTTGACCATGCAGTTCACCATTTTGAAGAATGAAAAGCAGTTCAAGCGACACGCCCTGGCACAGAGCTGTAGACCTAAGGGATGACTCAAAAAGGTGTTGACGTAGTAGCCGCTTGTCTATTTTTAGTCTGTCTAAATCTGTACTTCAACCTTGTTCCTGTGGAAGTGCTTAATTGAATGCTGCTACCACGCTGGCGACAAGCCTTCAGGACTTTTCGGGGCCTGCGCGGTCGCCTCTAGCCAGATTGACCTCTGAACAGATTGTAGCAGGTTTCAGAGAGACACTCATGTCGATTACACAACAGCTGAAACAGGCTGAAAGTGGGACAGTGTGACGTACAGTATTTCTTAATCGATTTTCTATTGATGCTCATAAGATGGTGGAATGGCAGCTAATGTCTGTTTGAGGCGTGGGAGGAAATTGACGAAATAAGACTGAAAATTAGTGGGGAAATCGCGTTGAAGATGCAGGCCTAGTCGTTCGTTCGTAATCTTCACTTTCATTTACTTCGTGATGTGCGAAACAGTTTCCTCATTGGCCTGCGCAATGAGAATATCACGGCCAGACCCGCGATTGCCAGGGGCACCAATGAGCGCATCGGCAGGCCGGTAAAGATCTGTTGCCGGTAGGCATTCTTTCTCAGTATGCAACCCAAAAACGCCTACAAAGATAAGGGCACCAGGGTTATGCCGCTGCTCTGACTGAGCGAGCTTCAAAGCGGCGCGGAGCATGGCAACCCTGTTGACTGCTGTTCTGGTACCCACTACCATCCACTCAGGTGTGTAAATCCGCGCTGTTTCCTTGTACGACTATCACAGTGGACCGTCCAAGTCTGTTTCTAACTCTCGGGGCAATCCAAAAAGAAAATACCCTACAGATTCCTCTAGTCCCTTGTCTTCGGCAGCTATATAATAAAAGAGAAGAGAATACCCGCATAGATTTTCACGTTTAATGGCGCAGTGTCTTTACTTTTATCCCCCGTGAGTTAGTGAGGTCCCCGCTCTACCAATAGTTTTCCTGTTCCAATTTCAGCAACCGAAACCACTTTGCAGAAGTGCCAAGTGGCTCCATATTCGAGTAGCCAATGGGCTCTTAGTGGCCTCTCCACCAAGCTCGCGCCGTGCTCATCACGTCGCGTCTCCATTCTACCTCTTGGTCGTCTAATGAACGAAGGTAGGCACGCGTCCTCCAACAGCATAGCGCTTTGTTCTGCTTCCCACAGAGGGTATGCCCACCCCCAACAGTCACTTTTCCGTTCCTTGATGGCCCTTGGTCCTACTCATCCTTTCCTCTACCCTGTTACTATTGCGGAGACGAAGCTCGCGGTTAAAGTACCTCAACTACATTCAAAAGGCACAAAAACTAATTGCCGAGGATGGTTGAGCAGATTGCGCCAACTACTACGGCGGTTGGTCACCAGTCACCTATGGAACGAACCGATGACGATGTGATCTATCTCTGCACCTTCAAAGGTCTACAGCGCCTTACAACACAGCGACTCAACTAACAAGACCATAGTAAAGGACCCTTATCAGACCACCGATGCTTCTCAAAGAAGAACCAAACAAAACGGCCGAGCCTGTCGAAACCACGTAACGTCAACTAAGCCAATGTCTCGAAAGAGACGTTATACAAGAACCAATACAGCCTCCACGCTGAGAATACCTGCTGAGATGGCCTACAAGCATATCAGGCTTGGTGTGATGAAGGACTTTGCTAGGTTACGCCGAGCCGTGTATGGTTTCTTTGACCGCGTAGACAGGTTTCGCTGCCGCATGGAGATCAGGCAGTATGCCAGTCCAGTGGATCTAGGGCCTCACCTGAGCGCCACTCTTGTCACTCATGATCAAGTCGAATACCGCTCACGCTTCCAAGGACTTACACATCAACAAGTCCAAAGAGAGTTTCGCTACCAGTTAGCAAGGAAGCTTTATTCGCATGCAGCCGATGGAGAAATATAGGACAGCAACGCAGCTGATGTCTATTTGAGGGAAAGGGTACCAACAGGGCATCAGTTAAGAGCGAAGCATTGGCTAAAAGGGACTACAACTAAGGAGGTAAGCGCTGACAGAGTACCGGTGGAGCAGCTGCGTAGCGAGGATAGAAATAGGGCAGCGCCTCTAACAACGAAAACATTCATCCTGTCACTGGTAGGCTTGGCGCGCTGCTTCTTTATAGACCCTTATGTAGACAAATTGACCAAAGAAAACGGTACTTCTTTTACAAGGTCAATAGTTCGACTGTGTTTGTATACTATTGATAAATTGTCTCTTCAGATACACGATTAAGCTCATCAAAGTGTTAGGCAATGCCTGGTTGTTAATAAGGTCGTAACTCGCCTCTTAATCTTGTGTGTTCTAAGGTTGCTTATTGTAAGCGTCACTCTATTTCCCTCATGGGCATAACTCCGACTCGCTCATAGTAGTAATATCAATAGTCGTTACCTTCATCCCACCCCCATTTCTCCGCGTTCCATTGCCGCCATCATCTTCCTCATCTGGCAGAGCAGTGGCAGACAGGACCGGTAGAGCACCAGCATAAGCAGGGCAGCTGCCCAAAACAGCACCACTCGGCTAGCCATACGAATTGACTGAACTGAGCGAAGGCCTACGGAACAACCCTGAGAGCTGGGATAACCACCCAAGCTCAAAGTTATGCAATTATCAGGATAGTAATTAGGTAGTAAATTAGGCCTAACAGTTTCCACACAGCTTGACCAACGCTATAGCCCACTGACATCGGAGTGCATTGTGCTTTTCCATGTGCTAGCATCCGTGTGCTAGCATCCATGTGCTAGCATCCGTGTGCTAGCATCCATGTGCTAGCATCCGTGCGAGCTACTCCATGTGAAGCATCTATGTTAAGTGTTAGCATCCGTGTGCCAGCATTCGTTTGCTAGTGTCTATATGCTAGCTACTTGGTAGCCACTGTGCCAAGACTTTAAAGTGCAGGTGGCCATTCTAGCTCCCAGGGTCTCAACACTGATCGTATGTCAGGGACAGCAAAGACTATCAGCAACTGGGCTTGGTATAGCTGCGAAGTCAAGTGAGCTTGTAACGACTACTGCTACTATAGCAGCCTACCCCAAAAGCGTAGCATACTGTACAAACATTTATGTTTATCCAGTATAATATAGTAAAGGTGAAGAGATAGAGAGAGAGAGAGGGCGCATAAGATCAGCTGCATAGGCATCTTTCTGCGTGAGCACATCTGCATGAGCACGATTCTGCTCCCGAGGAACTGCGTAGGCACCTATCTGCGTGAGCACATCTGCATGAGCACGATTCTGCTCCCGAGGAACTGCGTAGGCACCTATCTGCGTGAGCACATCTGCATGAGCACGATTCTGCTCCCGAGGAACTGCGTAGGCACCTATCTGCGTGAGCACTCTGCTTTGCACGATTTTTCTTTAGGCTGTGGGATTTCTATATCAATCAATTCAAGGTACAGTACAATTCGACCGTGACTTCCAAGATGAGATCGATACGCAGTCCGCATGTTTAGATACATACACAGATGCTCATTTGAAACCCCTGAAGAGCATTCTTGCCATAAGGGCCGATTACTTCAAAGAGAGCACCTTTCTAATATTCTTTTGCGCCAGGGTGCCGACTTGGTCTCCTCGGGTTCGACTTGACGGTTCTCCAAGTCACAGCAGTTTTCTTCCATCTCATCTTGCCGTCCCTCGAGCTCTTTGTTCCGCCTCTGAAGTTCTTCGACGGTGTCCAGAAATAGCTGACCAGAACGGGTGCCCAGATGGGTGGCCAGAATAGGTGGCTTGAATAGGTGGTCAGAATAGGCGTCCAGCAAACAGCCGAAGCGCGATGAGTCGCGACACCCCACTTCACCCTGGTGTTGGATCAAGACCAGCTGTTCCCAAACTCCCTATTTGACTATCTGTTCCGTGTGTTTGTGCCCTTGGTCAAAAGTCTTCTGGACCGGAGGCCGAATGCGGCGCCGCTCTCAATGGCAGGCCCCCCCCCCAGCTTAGACGGTCAAGAGTGCATCCTATCGGGTGCTGAAACCCGTCAAAAACACTACATGTGGAACAGGCCTGGACGAGCTGCAAAAGGCGCTTGGCACACAGACTCCTTTCCGTTGCGAGCATTTCGGGCATTGATGTCCCTCGAAAAATCAAAGGCTGGGAAAGGAGTGCAGTCTGTCATGGCTGTTTTGATTACCTAACGCATGCGCTTCAAAAGCCACATGGTCAAAACTGGCTCCGTCGTTGCCGAGGGCCCAGTGCCGACGCCTCCATTTCCGGCTTTAGCGGAAGCTGCGCTTCAAAGCCGAAAGAGAAGGTAATTGAACAACAAAGGGTGCAAGGTGAAGGGGAGGGGAAGTGAGAGACTCTGACCTTACGCATCTTCAAGCTTACAGTAATCTGAGCTGCAGGACCTTGGAGGCCTTGCTTGCTTGTTTCACCATCTCAATGCAGAGAGTTGATACTTAACGTAAGCCGAGTGTACTGCACTCTGAGTACCTGAAAACTGATATTGGAGAAAAAAATAGATCGCACAATACATCGACCGCCAATTCAGCGGGAGGTTAGATGTGGAAGAACAAGGTTCCTTCTCTGCTCATCTGTTCACGAAGTCCCCTCCAAAGGTGATATATTCCCTATCGCGGACGATACCCATATACCAAGCCGAGAGTACACCATCCTGGAAATGATGCATGACCTGGCTGTAACCGTATGAGACTGCATATTACACTGTGAACCAATTACTGCTGGAGATAGGAAAGATAATCAAGCCCAACCTCACAGCCGTCACGACATCTACACACGTATATGGTTCCTACCTCTTGGCCACAAGCCAAAGGTAAGCAAATAAGCTTAGTCATTACGAGACCGAGCCACCGTGCACCAATAGGCTAGGTAATCACTAGCCATTTAAGCCCGAGCATGCCACTGTCAGCGTCACACGAGCCAGGACACATTTTGTTACTGTATTTGTGGGGTTGTATAAGCATCAGCATAATATTATTGGCCTAACATCCTTGAGGCCAAAATAACGCCAAAAGTGATAGCGTTCGGGCTTGGATGGATGCACCAGTTCATAAAGACAATCACTGCCAAGTGCATCGCTTGCATGTTGCTACGTCATCGCCCATACATCCCCAAACACAATCATTCAAACAAAAAAGGAGGTACTAGAAACACATTCACCCTTTCATCATCCAAGGAAAACGTGAGTCATGCGCAAATATTTCCGGTCAAAATACCGTTATGACTAACACATATGGGCTAGAAGCCTGCTGTATTACCAGCTGATCCTACTCTGCTAGCGGTGGCCTACCGGCCTGGAACCGATGTAGGGGCAGTCAGAAGCCTACTTGACCTCTTTATCCGATTGTTCCCCAGGACCTCGCTGACCGGTGGGCGCCCGGTGAACGAATTCGGCGCCGAAGTACGGCCCTCGGCGCAAATCGTCGAGAATGTATACATGGCGGCAGACTTCTACTGCTGAGATTTACCTCCTAGGTATTTTGGTTTACATAGAAATCCATAGAGAATCTAAACTACCAAGTTACTAGGCAACTCAATAGAAGAATAAGGAACCTATCCATCCATTTACCCAGAATCACCTGCCTAGCCACAGCCACCTACAGGTCACGCTCTGAATTCCTCAACAACCAAGTCATGCCTTAGCCAACCTCAATAGCTTGATATAGATGACGTATATACAAGTAACCTGCTTGTGCCATTCATTATATTCCCTCTATCAAT